AGGAAAATGTCTTTGAAACTTCATTTAAGACAGTCGATGCTGCAGACTATTCTAGTATTGGTAAGAATTTTGTGTATTCCCAGATTTCAAGTGATTTTGCTCTCTTGTAATTGATGAAATGATTCTTTGATTTGTGAATTAAAGTATAAGCACATTATTCATCTACTTAACATTGCATTATTTAATGGACTGTATTGATTTTTAAATGGTCGATCAGTTTGAGTGAATTTTTATTGCATTTTATTTGAATCTTTTATTTGAATTTGCCATATATGATGACTATTTCAAACTTTATATTGGAGTTTTAAGGTTCCTTACACTCTTTGTTTCCTCCAGCAACTGTTGATGTTCGTCGTGTTGTGACATCTATAGCCATAAATCAGAATGACACACAGGTGGCTGTGGTTGAAACGGAGAGTGGAGCAGATGACCTCACAGAAGATGCTGTTGTAAGATTGTATGAAATTGGTATGACAAGACAAGAAGACGATGAACTGGTAAGTTGTCTGTCCTTTTTGGGAAGGGAGCGAGATTCATGAGGTTTTGAACTGATTGCTCTCGGATTATTTAAATGGCATTACTTTCATGACCCTTTTTATTTCCAGCATGATGAAGATGATGAGGAGGAAGACCTGGGCAGTGAGGAAGAGGATTCCGATGAAAGTGACGACGATCAAGAACCAAATTCCCAGGATGGGGATGGTGAAGGTAGAGCTGTCTTGTTAAGTAGATTTGGAAGTTGGAGGTCCATCTTATAGAACATAATTGGGGGGGGGGGGCTTCTGTTGTAGTTTATGCATGAATGTGTAAATCCATGGACAAATTGTTATTATTCATTTATACTGTTATTTTATTTCATAACTAATGACCCACAAACCTTTCTAGCAGCTCAAGCAGATGAGGGAGAAAATGAGGACGAGGAGGATGTGTCAAGCAATGCCTCAGAGCTGAGCATTCACTCTCTCGAGGATGCCTTTGAGGATTCAGACTCCTCAGACACGGTTTTTTTCGAGTTGAATGGTGACGGCAATCCCTCAGATCCTTCAAATGCATCACTTCACGCCTGGTTGCAGGAGAATGATGATGAAGAGGAAGATGCTGAAGATGAGGACTATGAACCATCTGACTAAGTTAAGATTGCTTGGGATTGTGAATTAGAAATTAAAACTTTAGTCACATATTCTTTTTTTTTTTTTCTTTGTCTTTCTATTTTTTCTTTCAAAATACACACACACACACACACATACATACATACATACATACATACATACACACACACACACACACACACACACACACACACACACACACACACACACACACACACACACACACACACACACACACACACACACACACACACACACACACGCTCACACACACGCTCACACACACGCTCACACACACGCTCACACACACGCTCACACACACGCTCACACACACGCTCACACACACGCTCACACACACGCTCACTCTCACTCTCACTCTCACTCTCACACACACGCTCACACACACGCTCACACCTCACACACACGCTCACACACACGCTCACACACACGCTCACACACACGCTCACACACACGCTCACTCTCACCCACACACTCACACACCCTTACTCACACACCCTTACTCACACACTCACTCACTCACACGCACACGCACACACACACACACACACGCGCACACACACACGCTTACACACACATATATACATATACATACATATGTATGTGTATATGTCTGTCATCATGTACATGTACAAACATGCATGCATACATACAAACATATATATGAATACATATATATATATATATATATATATATATATATATATATATATATATATATATATATATATATATATATATATATATATAATGTGTGTTTGTCTTTGTGTATAGGCTGTATTGTTAATTATCATTACTTGAATTGTCAGATGGGACTATTGTGAATGTGAGTGATCCAGTGCCCAATCAAGAAACATAGAAACTGCTTGTAAAAGTAAAAAAAAAAGAAAGAAGAAAAAAAAGAAATTGATAGAACAGATTATTTATTTATTTATTTTACAATTATTTATTAGTTTTTATTTTTCATTAAAAGATTAAAAGCCAGAATATTATATAAATGGAAAAGGAAATTATATGTAAACAGTAATTTCTTATTATTTGGGAAATGCTTTTGGTGAATGATGCTATGAATTGGATTTTGAAAACTTGCACGTTTATATTTGTACATGTGTCTGAGTGTGTATATATATGTGTAAGTGTGATTGCGTGTCTTTGTATATGTGCATGTATGTTTGCGTTTCTATGTATATGTGTGCACATGTGTGCGCGTGTGAGTGTGTATATATATATATATGTGTGTGTGTGTGTGTGTGTGTATATATGTGTGTGTGTCTATATGTAATATATATATATATATATATATATATATATATATATATATATATATATATATATATATATATTTGTATGTATACACATACATACATTTGTACATACAGGGTCAGATATGGTAAAATGGAAAAGGATCATTTGGCATTTTTTAAGTATCAATTGTCTAAGTTTTCAATAGCTACTTTCAAAGGGATTAGAATCAAGTTATAGATGACTCTTCTGTTGCAAGCTCTAAGTGTAGATAGTGCATCTCTGCATGCATAATAAATGGTGCTCTCACTTCACCCCCACCATGATTATCTTACAAATCTGAGTTTGATAAGGAAATCAGATTTTGAATGAAGGATGTAGGAACTTGAGATGGAAAAAAAAACTTGTGCCAATAATGTTTGTGTAAGGAACTTGTGAAAAATTTGATAGGGAAAGTTCAACTTAGCATTTTGGTTGGATTCTTTACTAGATCTTCTCAATGAAAAAAAAAAAAAAGTTAGATGTAGAATTTTAGTAGTTTCCACATAATGTAAAGCAAGCTGCTGGTGGCAGGGTGATATTAACATGTGCTTAATGTATGTATCATCAACATACTTGTTGCAAATACGTATTTTCCAAGCCAGAGTAAGGAGCTTAGTGGTACCACTTTTTTATTGCAGTTACTTGCAAATAAGGAGTAACTAAAGAGAAACCTATAAAAAAAATAAATGTTCTAATTAAGCAATATAAATGTTTACCCCTGTACTCTGCAAAGGTTACGTTCTTACAATATGTTGGGTGTGATCCTTGATTACCCATTATAACATCTTTACATTTGTGTCACGTAATACAAGCTGTTGGTTTTTATATTTGTGTCGGGTAATGCAAGCTGTTGAGTTTCCAAGTTTTCTTTCTTTCTTTGACTTTTTTCCACAAACCTATTATTCCTTGTTCAAAACAGAATTTCGTTATCGCCAGTTACTTGGTTCCCAGCACAAACATTCGATGATATAGTTGTATCAAGTGCTTGATATTTTTTATTGCGAATGTATTTGCATGATCAGAAGTTGCAACTAAGCTTGTCAGAATGAGAAGAGCCTTAGTTGTGCAATATTTTGAATAAAGTACTTGCTGTATCTTTTAGGAGGTCTTGAAGTAAAATTAAGTTAAGAATTTATATGATGTCTAGAAAGAACATGCTTATATTCATTTGTAAAAACATTTGGAGTGTTGTCCTATTTGTTATGGGATGTTGTATCATCCAAGGGAAAAAATATCAGTGTTTCAAGGTCTCTTGTATGTAAAGAGAATTAATCTTTAGTTAATCAAGAGATATTCACCCGGTCACCGCAAGGATTGACAAAAATATTCTCCCTGCCCCTCCCGATTCACACACCTTGTGAATTTTTTTGTGATTTGTAATAATCCGTTCATGGTGTGCATGTGTTTTGATATGTATATATATGTATTAAGATATTTCTTACTATAAACGGTAACCAATGCTACTCATAAATTATTTCCCCATTGTTGTAATTTCTGCAGGGAGATTTTCTTGGAAAGTACATCTTCCAGTTCCTTGTTCCAGTTTTAAGTGATATCCATTTTGTTACACACATGTAGATAATATATTTTTGCCAGAATATAATCTTCTTTGAAGTTATAGTAGTTTAAATTAATACATAAATACCACAATACATGCTGAATGAAAAGAAAGTATTTCTTAACATTCATCAATATTTTTTTTTTTTTTTTTTTTTTTTTTTTTTTTTTTTTTTTTTTACATAAGAGGGTGTTCTGGTAAGGAAAAGTGTTTGAATTGGGCTGCCTATACATCAAGGATCTTTATTTGATATTCGTTTATCATGATATTATGTATGCTTGTTTTTGCTGCATTCTTGGGAATCTAAGCAACATTACAGTCGTAAGTTAAGTATTTTCATCTCATTCAACCAGAACATATGCTAAGATATGCCTAATTAAAACAGAGAATGCAAGTTTGAAGTGACTTTACATGCATTACATGATTTAATCAACTTCATTACAGATTTTACATTACATTTAAATATCTGAGTAGGTGACACAATTTTACATTACATCTGAATACGAGACAAATTCAAGTGACACTGGGTCATATGAAAGAGACAAATGAATTGTCCCTCTATGGTAAAATTACTGCAAGTTTAATGTCATTCTATTCCTGGTGCACAAAGTGTTGGTTGAGGTATTTGCATTTTCTTAACCACCAATTGACCAGATGCTGCTATTCAAGCTCACCCATGACAAAACACAAACTACTACTATCCCTTTCAGATAGCACTTAGTAATAACTTCCTCCCCAATAACCCTTTTCCTTACTCCAGTTTACCAGTGCTATATGACCTTTGATGTCATATAGCACTTCCTTACCTGGGGGCTTTACCCCCCAAGCCTTACCCTATCACTATAATTTGGCAGAAAATTGTTCAATTAAATAAGTCAACTTTTTTAAAATTTGGATTTATGGTAAGTGTGTGTTAGCCCCTTCCCCACCCCTCCAATGCTTATACCAAGACGGCAGTTGCCCCACACAAACAAACCTGGGCTCAATGGGGTGATGCTAAATATACCTTGGATAACTGACAGGAACATATCTAAAATTGCAAACATTTATTCACCTTTATCACTGGTACATTTTTTGGTTGAAAAAACATGTTTAAGATATCCTATCCTTTTCTTTCTTTCTTTTTTTCAAAACAAACATTTGGTGCCAAATTAAGGTACATTTAAACATCTATTCAATACATTGAAGACATAATCAGGAAAATTATCCTTCTAATAACCATCATTGGAGAAAGTAATTTTGGCATAGTCAGGGTATTTCTTCTTCAGCAGCTCAACAGATACTGAATGATCAGCCTTTCCATAACCTTGAGAGTAGCCAAAAACTTCAATGCTTTTATTGTCTGGCTCGTGCAGAATACGACCTCCTCCGACGCACTCGCAATCCAGTCCCTTGGCTTCAATTCCAGGCACAACCTTGTCATACACATCAGCATGGAAACCTGCTGAACAGTACCTGTAAACAGACAGAAATATAATTAACATAAATGGCAATACTCTAGCTTCTATTTTTAATTAGACTTTACCAGGATTTTGTTTTATTATAATTTCAAGTTTCTCTTCTTGTTACCAAAAGTTTTGAGAAACAAGTGGTTCCTAAAACGACTGGAGGAGAATGCAGCTTCTAAACAGATTTACAGCACTAAGCAAGTATAAATAATGAAAGAAAATAGTGAAAAAATGAAAGGAATACAAAGATGTACATCACACACTGATGACTACTGATCACAGGATGAGCCTGATGATAGTACTTAATTAAAAAACAGGAGGGAGTGGAAGGGACAATGGGGAAAGAAAGGGAGATAGTGCAGATGAAGAATTATAATTTAATTAATTATAATTTAGTTTGATAACATTTGTTACAATGGATATTCTTGTGATGACATGCTGTCTGTTTTATTTTGCTTCTAAATTATCCCCTGTGTGCAAGGAATGGCCGGGGTTACCATCCACTGGTGGCGAGGGATTCGAACGCAGGTCAGCAAGATTGCTTGACGAGAACGCTACCACTGCACCACACAGCACACAGGGAGAATGGGGTGTGCCCCCCACTAAGACATCCTATGATCTTTGATCCAGAATAACCTTCACATATAATAAAGTCATATGACCAATGGTAATTACATGAATAATAGTTTCTATCGAATCTACGATGTATAACTACTAAAAACAAAACCATACTCTTCTCAAACTATGAGTATTTATCATTTACATATTGCATCTGACCTTGTATTGTAATCATTAATAGAGCTCTTCATTTCACCTCCAAGTTAAATTTAATATAACTATAAGGAAATTTTAATTTGATTTAATTTTTATTTATTTTTCCTTTTTTTCATTTATTTCATCAACTGAACTTTTACATGATTATTTGACCCTTTGCATCTGCTCTCGTTCCCACTCACTAATTTGCGATATCAATTATGGTATGTGCCACTATAAATAAAATATTCACTGCTGACATGTTGTTAAAATAGGTTTTCATCTAAAAGTGTCAGTTCTGCAACACATCCCTGTGCAGTGTCTTAGCAGCTATTATCTCCCAAAAAGCTGTGTACCCATTCACTTTGAATTGTCTGGATAAAACACATTATATGAATGAACATGTTAAATGAATAGGTGTAAAAGGATCATACTTTTTTCCCATTCTTTAAACAAAAAGGCAGCCTATGAAGTCAATAATGTAAAAGATTTGAAAGGATGGAAATATATTGGCAACTTTCAAAAGTATAAAATTAAAACAAGATCTTTTGATTTCCAAAAAGTATTCATCCTTATAAAAGGGTAGGCTGCAAACAATAAAGCTAAGTCCTCAGAGTCGTTATCATAGCTTAATGAAGCAGCGAACACAATAACATTGGAGTAATAAATGGAATGTGCGTCTTTCTTTATCTGCTGCCTTAGTCATTTCACATTAAATCATAAATATAGTCTAAACTCTGTCTACTTAATAACAGGGTTTATACCTATATACTTGAACCCACTACACTGTTACCAGATAAAATCCTGCCATCATACTTTTAGAGTTGCTGTGAATTTCTTCGGCCAGCTGTACAAGGCCCCAGGACTTACCCTCTCACGATATGCTTGGTGACTTCAGGTCCTCCTTCTGGGGAGTCATGAACTTTGATCAAAATATACTTGAAGCGACCTGTGTCGATGTCCACATCTTCTACCTGATCCAATTTTGCGGAGGACATCTTTGTTGATATCTGACACAACCTTAAAATAAGAGAGATTTTATCAGTTAAACCAATGACTGTTTCTCAAATGTTCATAAATCATTTGGCTTTCTGTTTTGTATGAAAATTTAACATAATTCAAAGCCATCTGCCATTTATATATAACATTACTAAACTTATACATAAAATGACTATATGACTACAGACTATGTCTTAAATATTTTATACAAAGAGGAAATTACATAACATTAAGTAAGGAAAACTGTTAGAATTTAATAGGCAAGATTTTAAAAAATGTCACTATTAGACTCAGATTCTGATGGTCTTGCCAAACTCACATCTGATACTTTGATTACAATATTTCTCCCTACGTTTACTCAATAATTAATACTTAAAAGCCACTGAAGCATACTTATTTAAATCTTAATCTTCTTCCAGGCTGCAAATAATAGCCAACAACTACATGTGACATTCACTGTCTCAGGCCTTGACTTGGCTCTGTGCCATTTCCTGGAGTGTTTTGAATATCTTTCGACCTTGGAAGACCTTGAAATGCTTGCACTCCTTAAACTCCTAATATAGCATTTCTATCTCAAATCTGTTATCTCTTCCTTTGATAATAATGAATTTGGTTAAATTAAAAAAAAGAATCTGTATGTTATCCCTTGTGCATTTCGCCGGTTACCGTATATAAAGTCATGTTTGTTTTCCTCGTAATAAAGCCTTAATCAATTCACCGTCATTACAAACTACAGAAACAATGAAGAGTGAAATAACCCAAAAAAGAGTAGAGAGAAATAAACCCAAAAATAAATACGCACACCTGCCACTCCTCCCATCACAATGAAAACCCACATCCACTCAGATCTCAGAAATTAACACTAACAACAAAACCAAACCTTTACAAAATACTCTTCCCTCCCACAACACACTCCAACCCAACCCACCAACACATCAACCCACCACACAACATCAACGCTAAATTCTCTCCCAAAGCAGACAAACCTCGAGGAAGCAAGACGTGCCGGGACCTGAATCAGCTGCGACTTCGTAAACAACCCGAGCATCTTCTCCCTCGGACCGCGGGGTTATTCGATTTTGCCAGCGAGGGGTCTGCATTTGTGATTTTCTATGTTATTTTTGTTCTCTATTTATTTATTGGTTTTCTATGTTTTCTATTTATGTTTTCTATGTCATTTTGGGGCGTTTAGTTTATTATTATTAAGGGTGTTTGTCTTGTTTACAGGGGTGAATTTAAAGGTGTTGGATTTGTTTTTGGTTGTTTGGCTTTTTTTCTGTTATTTATTTAGACCTGCGAGGATTATGGTGTGAAAGTTAGAATTTATTTGATTTTTTTTTTTGCTGTTTAATCATTCTATGTGTTTTCCTTGCATGCTGAAAACAGGACGACCACTGTGAGCCATGAGAGTTGCATTGTCAATTATGAGGAGTGTAACAATTTGTCAGCATAATTTCAATTCAAAAAAGGCTTACCACGGATCCTACCTTAGCCTCTTTTATAACGAGGGTTAGTAATGTGTATATATATATATATATATATATATATATATATATATATATATATATATATATATATATATATACATATATATATATATATATATATATATATATATATATATATATACATATATATATATATATATATATATATATATATATATATATATATATATATATATATATATATATATATATATATATATATATATATATATATATATATATATATATATATATATGTGTATATATATATATATATATATATATATATATATATATATATATATATATATATATATATATATATGTATATATATATGTATATATATATATATATATATATATATATATATATATATATATATATATATATACATATATATATATATATATATATATATATAGACACACACACACACACACACACACACACACACACACACACACACACACACACACACACACACACACACACACACACACACACACACACACACACACACACACACACACACACACACACACACACACACACACACACACACACACACACACACACACACACACACACACACACACACACACACACACACAGTCGGTGATGCATTATGTATGGATTTCACTATTCCATTTTGTTTTCAGCCACATAAAACCGTATTCTTTGGGCGTAAATTGCACAATCTGCTGTGTCAAGAGAAAACTTTTTAAAAATTCGATATATAATCCTCATGCATCTCGTGTGATGTATTATGCATTATGCACTATGGCAACTGTACTGCATGGTTTTATCACACTCTTATGTATGGGCACAAATACACACTCGCATGCGGCTGTGTGTGTGTGTGTGTGTGTGTGTGTGTGTGTGTGTGTGTGTGTGTGTGTGTGTGTGTGTGTGTGTGTGTGTGTGTGTGTGTGTGTGTGTGTGTGTCCATGTGTGATGCTGTAATTTTTTTTTTTTTTATTGTCTAGTGTCCTATAGTCAGTCTTTGCACAGTGAGCGTCTCCTAAGCCCCCCCCCCCCCCCCATGACAACTAGGGATTCATCATCATCATCATCTCATTATCATCTTATTTTCATTTTCCACCCTTTGTTTATTTCTTGGGTCATATTTAAATAAAACTTCAAATATTGATTGTGCAAATATATTTATTTAAAATCACTTGGCCATAACAGACCAACTGGACGGCAAACTTTGCAAGGCACAACTGCCACTTTATTCATCTTATTCAACAAACCTTTACTGTACAACACACAAACTAGTATTTTATACCCTGATCATCGCTAAAATAATTTCACCTAAGAAATACAACAAATGACCACTGTAAATGGCCAAAAATGTATAATTTCACAGATTCTTGTGATATGTCACTGTCTAGTGGCTGTGTACACTGTAATTACAAGGCACTACATCCTTGGCCAACAAACATCTATTTGGTTGATTTTACTTACAACTGAAAAAGTATGAGGCATTCTGCTCATTTACAATGTGGGGTATGGCTCAGATTTATTCATCTTGAAAGTAGTGCTATATATCATTACAAACAATATAAGGTATCATATCCTTAAATGTTGAGTCTAGAAAGTTCAATGGCTTTGGGATATTTTACACAAACATTTAAGGCCTTCATCAATTCTCAGTGAATATTACATAAAATAAAAAATAATATTTTGAGTTCATAATTTACAAGAAGTCTACACTCCTTCGAAAATGCAGATAAATAGAATTAATTTTCTTTCTCCCTTTTTTAACAGATAATAATACAATTATCTGCTTTTCATTCATTGTCTCCAAACCTGAGAAATACAATAAAGTTCACATTTTCAACAACTCAAGTGTGAGTTACATCACCTTACATTTGGCTTTTGTGGAGAAATTTCCTGGAAGCTACTTGTTCTGTATATTATGTCTTTGGCATTCAGATGCATACTAACTATTCAACATAATATTTAGTTTCCATATATCTTAAATATCCTTTGCTTAAACAGTGATACATGAAAGTGAATAAACCTACAATGAAAGGTTCATATTCTTACAACCTGCCAATCCATCAAAATTCTCAGTGAGCAACAGTTCACATTCATGAACATATAAATACTTTTATACCTAACAAACAATTTCAATATAAATAATTATTCTACTACACTATAGCAAAGGCATATCACTAATAAATGAAACTTATGTCTCACATATGATACTCATACTTGTAGGAAGCTCTACACGATACAATAAATAAGATGTCTATATAACATCCCTAGATCTATTCTAAACATCTAACTTTGGTTCAACTGCAAAAACATAATCATAAAACATGAAATTTTCTATACTGTCTATAACATAACAGTGTCTTTCTTTAGTCATAAAAAAAGATATATTTCATGGGCTTTTAGTATTGTTTCAAGAATTTCTATGCACAGATAGCCCTTGTTCAATAGAAGTTCTAACATTACAATGCTTTATTTTTCTTACTAAATGTAATTATTATTATTTTTTTGTCACACCAATAAACACCAAATTATGTTAGGTACTTCTTGAATATCTGCTTTAATCTGGTATGTGTATAATTATGGGTACTTATTAATGTAACTTCATACTTTACTTTAATTCATTATACAGCTTGCATTGAGAGCTACTGAACGTTTCTGCACCTTTAAATTATTACACTTTATGTCTGGATGCTAGCATGGTTTATACTTAAAGCAACTTGCCTTTGTTAAAAATCATTTTTGAGATCTTCATTATTAGTCAATAAATAAGGTATGAAGCATGTTAATCACCCTTTAATATACCCAGATCAAACATATTTATAATCAACAAAAGCTATCTGTGCATGAAAAGAACAAACATGAATGAAAACAGTCACCTGGAAGAACAATAAATGACAGCCCAAACAACTTTGTAGCAGCTATTATACAGAGAAACAGTATGTAAATATAATATGACAACACTTTTATTACTGTACGCATTTCCCAAGGACCCATGAGGTAAACCAACAATTGGGAAACATGTTTTAGTAAACCAAGGATGAATCATGTTCACTGCAATAAATGTAGAAAAGTTATGAATGAGACTGAATATCTTCACAGTGTAAGAGATGTACTTAACTTGTTTTGATTATATCTTTGTCAGGAAAACAAAGATATAATCAAAAAGGGTCATATACATCTCTTGCACTGCAAAAATATGCATTCTCACTCATACCTTTTCTAATATCAGTAAATCAATCACATAAACAAATGACAAAAATATGATTATGTTTATAAAAATGACAGCTGAATTATTCACTGAATAGGTTTTTCAAAATCTAAAACACAAAGTATATCAAGACTGACTGTTCAGTTCATATTCCTATTTCTAAGCTCTACAGATGGGATTTCATGACGCAGAGTCCGTCACGTAGGACTTTCTTATCTTCAGCTTAAAAAGATTATACCATAATTATTAATATTTCTGGAAATCACTATTTCTAAATTCCTACTAAATCATTAAGAAGCACTCATCATAGTCCTATACAGACAAAATAGATAAATGAATCACAAACTTTCTGGAATGTATGTTACAGAGCTAGACTTATCTTTTACATTAAGTTTGTCTGTTATAGCAGAACTGGCTCTTAATGCTAGATCAATCTTTATTCCATACAAATGTAGCAAATATATATGTATATATTACAAAGACATCCACAAATATGACCATTGTGGTGTATCAAACATTTCAGTCACATACAAAATTAAATATCTATGTTGATCTCTTCCAAATATCTCGAAGCAATTTCCAAAGGACAGCACACCATAGTACAATAAAGTTAACTATACTAACGGCATTTTTCATACAAGATTTATGACCTGGTTATCTTCTAGGCAGAACAAGTTAACTATATTTTGAAGTCTAAAATGCTTCTTACTCTCACATTTCTGTAAAATCTCTAGGATGATAATTTTCAGCAATATTTTTTTTGTCCCAATTTACTGTTTATACATGTACATACATTTATACATAAGGATGAACCTTATTTAGGAAGTCACCTCTAAGTACAGAATAAGTAAATAAGGAGCCAATTTGAAGTTGTTTTAGTAAAAGTTGTATTTTTCAGGAACCTAACCTGTGTTAAATGTGGTTCAACTGGATATATAAAATATAGACAGTAATTCAGAACAGATCCTGTCAACTTAAACAAACATTTCCATTAAAACATTCATCATTGTACAAATCAAATAACACCCTTAGAAATCTCAAGTTTTCAAAAATAAAAACAGAGAAGATAAATATAAAAGGAACTATAAAGTCACTCTTGTACATACACATGCACATACATAAAGAAGGTGGGGGGAAAAAAAGAAAGAAAAAAAAAGAAGCTGATCCGCTCATCTTTTATGTAAATGTTCTACCTTTCAGTATATCAATCTCTTTAATTCTGAATTCATCAATCACATTCACAGGGAGACATCTATTTCAAGTGAGCACATTATTACTGTATATAGTTGCATAGAGAAAGTTGTAGTAGTATGAAAATATTAGCTTTTCTTCAATATCAATTATTTTTCAATTGAACTACACCTTTTAAATTATCAGCAGACCTTGCACTGAATCAGAGTCAGTAAATGCACAGCTGTATTTCCTACTTGGATACTATTCAAAGTTATATGACAAAATTTGCATGCACAATAAAATAAATAAATCAATCAACAAAAATAAATCAACAAAGATAATAAAGGTGTGTAAAGGCAGCACAGCTTATTTCCATCATGAGGTCTGTTTCATTAATTGATTGTGCTTAAACTCAAATATTACCTCTTGTGAAGATCCCAAAGAGATAAAAGGAAGTTAATGGAACAAAACTAAAACAAAAAAATAAGCGTATTAGCTATTATTTCATTAAATTAATAGCAGGATGAACATAATATACATGTAAAAAGCAGACCATGGTAGGTTTCAAGTAACATATTTGTGTGAGTAATCTTAACTTGAATACCAGCAAACAGAGAGCATTCCAATATTACACAACCAATTAGGAACTGAGTTATGAAAAAGACATTAGGAACCAAGTTTTGGGTAGACTAGATTGAAAATATGCATTTGATGTAATATGATAACACAATGCCTTATAGCATATATTTTAAATATATTAAATGACCAGGTAGCATTCAAATAAAATAAGATAAGATAAAAGAATGAAACTTTGCCTGGTGCAATCTAATATGGGAGTCATTTTAGGTATGAAACAGCAGACTCTACTAACGCCAAGGTCGAACTGTCTGACCATCTCTACTCTTCAGCTGTGATCTGGCAGTCTGACGCCCAGTGTTGATTGTCGAGGGTGCATTGGTCATTGCAGGATCAGTAGGAGCTACATAGTTTGGGATCCTTGAGGCTGCTTCCCACCAGTCTGATGCATCAGCCATGCTCAGAGGGGGAATGACTGTAACCGACACCTGTTGAGCTATCTCCTTCGCAGCGTCCTGAGTAAGAACACGCGAGGTGTCGTCTGTGACTAGGGGAAAGCCAAATTTATCTTTGGCAATACGAAGACCTCCACTTAACATGAAGATATTGCTATAACCACGATGTTGTAATGTAGCGGCAACCTCAGGTGCCACATCTTCAGCATCATCATATACAACAATTATAAATTCTGCATGGTTTTTGTACATCAGGAGCTCTGGACATTCCCAGCCAACAGCTCTGGACATACGGGATGCAGGGTGATTTACAGAAGTTACTAAGTGTGATTCTTGATAATCCTGAGAAGGACGAATGTCTATGATCACATATGGGCACTCTGGCGGTTTGGGTCTCCCTTCCATCTGGAAAAAAGTGGAAGAGGAAGAAAACATTAGTTGTGTGTATATATAAATGTGTGTGTGTGTATGTGTGTGTCTATATATATGTATATATATATATATATATATATATATATATATATATATATATATATATATATATATATATATATATATATATATATATATATATAATAAGATCTTGAAATAATGAGTGAAAAAAAATTATTACATGTAATGAAAACAAAATTTATGACTGACAACAAACATTTTAACACACAAATCATTACCTCAAGTTCCGTCATTTTATGAAGAACATTTTCCACTTCATCTCTGTATTTCAACGGTACCTCTGCTGTCTCTTGCTCCTTTTCTATATTCTCGTGATCACATTCTGCTGCTTCAACATCTTCAGCATGGGCGAGCATCAGCTGCAGGAGGTCAGCCAGGGAAATGCGACGATATACCTCATCATTTCTGACCTGCATCGAATTAATCTACATTAACTTCTCTGATGATTTGCTATAAAGGTATAGATATAAATGTTAGGTGTTGTATACACAGGGTGAGGTGGGGTTAAGAGGTGTTCATATGTATTCATACACAGGTCCACAAATACAAATGTAAAATAATTCATACTTGATCATGTAGTTCTAAAGACTCATCTCTGTATTATGTTAGACTGATCTATTGAAAAAATCATCATCTAATATAATAATAATACTAAAAAAAAAATAATAAATAAAATCTTCTTGTGGAAATAGTTTGCATTTACTATAAGTTAGGTACACAATAAATTATATCTACAACATTTAGGCTGCTAAGCTGTTTTCCTTTTCTTGTATACTAAAATATCTATGGATGCTGATAATTACACATCAAATATTATAATAAAAGAGAAATTGTATGCTATTCTAATTTTCAATGACATTAAGATATTCCAATGATGAAACAAATTATTTACATCATCATTAAGGTTAAAGATAATTCATAAGAACTGTGTTACAAATGAATGCTACACATCAATGGTTCCTAACTTGTTGGGATTATGCTCACACTGCCATTAATAAATGTATACCTCCTTTAACACATACAGGTAATTTATCTTATACTAGAAACATACATGCATCAGCTTCTTGCTTCAGGTAGTTTTTCCTTGAAGCTTTGATTTCTAAAAATATTTATCATTGGGGAAAAGGTATGTACACTAAAGAAGGTGCAATATAAAAAAGACCAGGAACCACAAGTCTTGAAACTCTGAATAACTTTTTGTTTAGAATAATCGAGTTTGCTTCAGGGCAAGCAAGTAATATATTCATCCTAGTACGAAATATTTACCTTGTAATATTTGCGAATTTCTAGTTCAAGTTCTTGACGTCTCTGTGTATTGAAGCCAGTGTTGGTACGTGGACGAACTCCAGAATAACGAGGGTTGGTTTTTATCCTTTTATTAAGGATTTCTCGGTCACTGATGGAATATTTCTTTAGTGTATTCACTGTGCCGGTATTAGAAACCATGAATTTCCTGGAATGCATTCTCTGAAAAACAAATATCTATTCAGTTAACTCCCTAGAAAATGCTATAATTAATGACCTTTGTTCTACTGTAACCAGAAAAAAGGATTCAAAACTGAAGAAAAAAAAAAAAAACACTGAGCATAAAAGAACTTAAAGAAAAGAAAAGAAATGGTGAAAAATTCCACTGCATAAAACTTAACTTTTTCTAACTCATACTCTATTTCATAATCTTTATTTTATCATTCATACTTTTTACCAAAGGATTTTACTCTGGCAATCCTATCTGTCAGTATGTACATATGCACTTGGCAACTTATACTATAGCAAAGACAATTAAAATTTTGCCATTCTGTTGCCAGTTTCCATATGAACATCAGTCAATTGTAAGGCTAGCAGGTACAAATGTACACCACATCTTTATAATGAATGAGTTTATTAAGAAGGAAAAAGACAAATTGCATGTATAAATCTTTCCTGACTGGAGAAATCAGGAAGAAAGGGCCTAATATCTTACAGTATACAGTAAATCATGTTAGGTAGCATAATAATAATAATAATAATAATAATAATAAATATAAATAAATCAACTGGCACTTCATAAGAAGGATGTTTGTGGAGACAGAATAGCGAGGTTTGGTTAGATTCAAACTTGGGTGGATTTTGGTTAGACAATGTTTGGACAGATTAGATAGAAGTTAGATTTAGATGAAGGGAAGGCTATCCCAAACAGGGAAGGAAGAAGAAAAAAAGGCAATTTCCAATAAATGCCGGTCATGGGTATCATAAAAAAGCTCTCAGTATTTAGAAAGTTTCAATTAATAAATGTAGTTAAAGCTCACTGCTGTCACTTCAAATTCTGTTTGTCATTGGATTCAAAACTGCAGCTAAAATGACAATCCCATTCAGAAAGACCACTTGCAAGGTCCTTTCTCCAAGGAAGACAAAGCTTTAATACGCCTGCATTCAGGAGCCCCCCCCCCCCATCAAAAAAGAGGAATAAAAGACAAAAAAAGAGACAACAATTTCCTAAACTTCCTTTCATAATTCAAAAGGATGTCTCTCTTCCTCTATAATATCATAAGCTATCGACAAAGGCATTTACAGCAATTTGACAACAAACACAGGAACAAAATAGGTAACTATACCATTAATACAGCTGAAAAAGAGATATTTTGGTGTTCTCATGAAACCACAATTCTTGACAATAAGTGACTATTCACATTGATCAGCACATGTTAATTTAATCATATGTCACTCAGCTGAGTCATTAGTGCTAATTGATCCATGGTGTAGTACTTATGCAGCTGGCTATACTTTATTAAGCTAGCCTAGGCTATGCTATGCTATGCTAGGTTAGGTTAAGTTTTTTGTATAAGCTTTGTTAGGTAGGGTTAGATTTAAGACTTAAATAGAGTAAAGAGCTCAAAACAGTGCTGGGGCATGGAGGGAGAGAAATACATACTGTGTTTATGGACAAAAATATGTATATATGCATACTGTAAAGGCCATACATGTAATCAAACATATAATTCCTTCCCTTTTTTCTCAACACAAACCGGAAGTTTATAAAAATGACATAATGATTATTACTGGTCTACTGTTTTAATGCCATTCTATGCACCTGTCATTTCCTCTGAAAACTAATGTTAATAAAATACAAAACAATAACACCTCATTATCGAATCGGAAACAGATTATTTTACAGATAAATAGCATTCCATACGTATTAACGTATGTGAGGAAGAAGCAAAGACTAAAACCCCGGGGAGCAAAAGTGCCTAAATGTCACTGCGGCTTCGTTAATGTCACTACCTCCTCCTCCTCCCCCTGTGGCACTCGCACCTCACCTGGAGACCAAATCGATCAAACATTAGCATATAACACGGACCCACTTCCCTTACACTCTCTCCACTGCCTCTTCCTCAATGCAGAACACACTCACAAACTATACTATTCCACCTCAGCCCCGACCTGGAGCCCAGAAGCGCCACAGATCGCCTGGAAAAGACATACCAGCACAGAAGGACCCGCAGTGCCACCGTCCGTCCGTCCGCTCGCCCTGTTGTTTACCTTAATAATTCACTCGCGGCGGCGGAGGCGAGGTCAGGCGGAGGAGGCCCTCTCTCATCCCGGCTCTGTGGACGGCATC